TCTTCAGGTCCGCTGCTTTAGGCGGCCAGGTTTCACAACCGTACAGTAGGGTCGAACGTACCGCTGCATTCTATGGACGGCAGGATTATCTATCAAGCTTGCTTTACTTTACGTGGACAGCTTGGCTGCCTCTCACTTAGGTTCGAACAGTGGGGTTCAACGCCTCCCATTTCTGCAAGAGCATTTTGATACTTACTTATCTGGGGCTTTTCTGATGGTATATCAATGAGCTTTAATTAGATATGAAGACGATTTATTCTTACAAGAACTTACCTGTAGAGGAAATTCGTTCCTTTTCCTTTTTCAATTTGTGCTTTTACGTAGTCTGAACTCAAGTGTTTTGACCCTTTTACTCTGCTAATTCTCCACATGCTCTGCACATAAATGCTGGGAACTTCCTGTGGATCCCTCAGTTGAAGTGGGAATCGCATGTTCGGATGATATGGAACGAATGCAGCTAGAAGGATTGACTGCACTCAATACCTGAGAAGTTCAGCTTGACTTCCTTGAGACGAACTCTTCATGCCAGAACTGGTATACCACAAAGGATAAGCCAGAGTACATTAGTTCGAAAGCCTTAAGCGCTTGCACCATTTTTACCCAACTTGCCCTTGGGTCTCATTGCTTGACCGGTTTCAATGACTAATAGCGGAACTGGACAAAGCAATTTGGTTAGCCAATGCGGAGGTTTAGATTTTGTGACGGCGAATAGCCCAGTGTAACATCTATCCTAAGCTACATTACCTGTTATACATTAACATTCCAACATATTGACTGTCGTGTTCCAGGACGTGGTGTTTATTTGCCTGGCAAGCCTTCTCCCTATAAAATGCCACAACTATCCGTTTACGAACACTACGACGTGGCGGATGTGACTCGCCACTGAATGAAGTCACTGACCACAAACCCATACTTGCAAGTCAACCAGAGCACACTTTCACCTCCCTTCCATCTTTCTAGATCTGCACACTAAAATGACACTTCCCTGTTTCTACCTTCCGTCTCCACCCTATCTGTTACGCTTTTGCCCATTCTTGAACCCAGACTTTCGCCATATCAGTATAGATTCCGTTTCTGACCGGTGCAGCCGCTATTTCGGTACCTCCAGTATAGTGTGCGAACAGCGCTTTTCATGCAAAGCAATGTGCCCGTTGCGAAACAATCGGTTTTAAATTATTGATCATGCCTGATTCGGCTTGCCTCGAATTATTTAAATATGAATTATTTATTTATTAACTATAACCTCTCCTGGTAACGTGGGACCTAAATTTGGCCGTGTTGAGTTCCCTCGAGTATGAATTAGCAATGTGCGTAGCTTAAATAAATAAATAAATAAATAGGTATATTTCTAGACCTGCTAGAGGCTGCACCCTAAAGGGTTCAGATCAATGCTTACATTTATCCGATGCTCTTGCATGGAAGTTGGCAAAATATAAGTATATGTTCATCGTTAGCAATTGCAAATGCATTGGCACTGTTTAGTATACAGCTACTGGGTCGCAGGCGCCCACCTTGACATTTTTCTGGTTCCTTCGGGCGATATTGAGCTCCTTGTCTTTTATTGTGAAAAATTCGCGAAGGTGTAGTTTGCCTTTTCTTCTTGGAACAGAATCCAATTTGCCACAAGTTCACTTTAAATTGATCGCACATTAATTGGCCACTCGGTTGCCCCAATTGTTGTTGCGCACATGGAAGAAATGAATGAAGGGATTATAAGGCATACGAAAAGTTAAAAACAATTCCGATAAATGCAGACATAAATAGAAGCAAATTGTTAAGAGAGAAAATAAATCTGCGTGCTTCAGTAGAAAAATACCAATTAACAAAAAAATATAGCCCTAATTTTATTACGCTGATATTGCTCTCCGGAGCAAAATTTCAACCTGAGTTATTCTCAGATAAAAGAAAAAGCCTTTCTACAGTTAGGATACCGCTTAAAGTAGCACAAAATTACACTGGTCTAGACCAGCTTTAGCGCCTAATACGATGAACGTAAAAGCAACACTATGCGTGCAGTAGTTTGCGAGTTATTTGCAATTAAATGATGGTTTACGAATAAGGCCATTTTTATTTTTCGCTAAAAATGGCTTTCTGCTTTGCAGGCAGATAGCAGAAAAAAGAAAAGATAATATAAAAAGTAGGGAAGCGGTGTATGTTCTAGATAGGCATAGCTATCCAGAAATGCTCTAATTAGCCCATAATACCCTGTGACAACTCCGGACTGCGCAGGTGGCCGAAAAGTAAACTTTGCAGGCAAGCATGAAAAATATATGCAAATAAGGGATGAGCTTGCGCGAAAACGCTAGAAATCCAGCAAGGAATATTATATCTACAAGGGAATTCAGGGGAGCTTGTAATTAACTCACGGTTAGAAGGTGTAGTGACCATGACATTTTACTCCATCAAACATCACATTCAGACTTGTACACATTTTGTTTTACTTTGCACCCGCCTAAAGCCTATATATACTGGACTGCGATTTTGAACCAGGTCCGCCATCTTGCCCGCGCGTTGCCGGCTGTTGCACTCCTACGTGGTGTTACTCATTGCTTCACCATTTTCTCCCATTGTTCTCAAGCTATATTCACATAGCTATTGTACTGTGCTGTTTTCTCAAGACAATCTTTATATCCCGCCGTCTTCTGTCTTACCGGGCTACGAACTTCTTGTGTAGCATTCGTCAAGGCGCTACATAATTGGTGACCCCAATCGCTTTCCGGTGAGTTCCATTTCTTTGGTTTTTCCACGCAAGCCATGACGTCAGTTTCTAAAAAGTGTGAAGATTCACAGTCGGTGCAAGCGGTACCTCTTGTAGTTGCACCATTTATTGAAAAAGATCCCGTTTTATGGTTCGTGATTTTAGAAGCTGAGTTTACTTCTAAGCATGTCACTAGCGATGCTGCAAAGTTTAATCACTTGCTCACACGCCTGCCAACTGATATTACTATAGCTCTACGTGATCTTATTATTACGTCTCGTTCTCCTGACCGTTATACTTTGCTCAAGAACGCTGTAATAAAGCGTGTTACTCCCTCAGAGAAGTCCCGCCTGCATAAACTTTTACTGGTCTACAGCTAGGTTCTAGTAAGCCATCCGCGCTGTTGTTAGAGCTGCGTGGTCTTCTTCAAGGATCGCATATGGATGAGTCGCTGCTTCGAGAGTTATGGCTTCAGCGTTTGCCTGAAAACGTACAAGCTATGCTATCGCTTGCTAAATCCCAGCCTTTGTCAGAAATCGCAGATATTGCTGATGATATGATGGATCGTTTCACCGGACCACCGTGTCCGTCGTCTAGTTCTGTTCGCTCACCTGACTTACGTTTGACTGCTGACCCTTCGGTCCAAACCAACGACACCGCTACTCCACCTTCGACTGGCGAGCTCTTAGCAGAGATAGCCGCGCTACGGCAAGAAGTTCAAAGCTTAAAGTTACAGCATCACCCACGTGATTCTCCATCCCGTTCCCCTAGCCCATCTCGAAGACGAACACGACGCCCAATTTGCCGTTATCACGCACGTTTTGGAAGGTCCGCTAGAAATTGTATTAAACCATGCTCATTTCCCGTAACGGGAAAAGGACAGGCCGACACGTAGTGGCGACGAACGTCGTCGGCCGAAGTCGTCCAAGTCGCCTCTTCAAAATCGTTGATAGGAACACCGGGATCATGTTCCTGGTTGATACCGGGGCGGAAGTTAGCGTGATCCCACCGGTTCCAGGCGACGCGACTAAGCCACAGACAACTAACTTGCGTGCCGCTAACGGCACTGCTATCCGAGTCTTCGGTCAACGCTCCCTTACCATTGACCTCGGACTACGACGTCCCTTTCGATGGATTTTCACCATCGCTGCTGTTCCGTTTGCTATATTGGGTATCGACTTCCTTCAACACTTCGATCTTCTCGTCGATACGCGTCATCGCAAACTCGTTGACAAAAAGACCCAGCTTTTCACATGTGGAGTTCGCACATCTTGTGTTTCTGTCACTTCCATTTACATTCAACCCGAAGCTGATAAGGAATTTTTAGATCTGTTCAGACAGTTTCCGCAGCTGGTCCACTCAGCTGACGCTACGCTTCCGGTAGCATCTAGCGTTACGCACCATATACTAACCCGTGGCCCACCGGTTTCTGCACGGCCACGACGTCTCGCCCCTGATAAGCTAAACGCCGCTAAGGCGGAATTCGAGCACATGCTCGAACTTGGTATCATCCGTTTTTCCGAAAGTCAGTGGGCCTCACCTCTCCACATGGTGCCCAAGAAAGGCGGCGACTGGCGGCCCTGCGGAGACTACCGGGCGCTGAACAAGTGCACAGTTGCAGATAGGTACCCTATGTCGCTGGCTGGCTAGCCGAACAAGGCTGGCTAGCCGAACAACCTCCTCGTGGTGCCAGCTGGGTGGTTCGGGTTTAACCCGTTCCAGCAAATAGTTCGGCGGCAGTGTTCCAGGACGTGGTGGGTTTTCGCCTGGCAAGCGTTCTCCCTATAAAATGCCACAAATGTCTGCTTATCAACACTGCGACGTGGCGGATGTGACTCGCCACAAAATAAACTCACTGGCCCGTGGATATCCGGAAAGTGCTATCCAACCCAAGGACATCAATCGCTTATGCTCACATTCCTGACGACAACAAACAGTCAAAAATGCTGCGGCACATTTAAAGACACAAGCTACATTCATGCACAAATACATACGTATATACACTCATACACTTACATTCACTGTTACGCCAAGCATGTACTTTTGTACATTATTAATTACACTGTTAGCTGAACATGGTCATGCCTGTAAAGGTGTGTCTCGCATGGTAGAGAATAAAAGTTTATTTATTTATTTATTTATTTATACCGCACATCCAGGACCTTACAAGTAGTCTCGGTGGTAAGTCAGTGTTTAGTAAGATAGACCTGACGCGAGCATATCACCAGCTTCCTGTAGAGGACTGCGATATCCCCAAAACGGCAGTTATAACACCCTTTGGTTTATTCGAGTTCCTTCGAATGCCTTTCGGGTTAAGGAACGCTGCTCAAACATTCCAGCGGTTCATCCATGACGTTACTCGTGGTCTGGACTTCGCATATCCTTACGTGGATGACATCCTAGTAGCTAGCGCCTCTAAGTCGCAACACTTAGAGCATCTGCGTACTCTATTCCAACGCCTATCTGATCGAGGCGTTACCTTGAACCCTAGCAAGTGCGAACTAGGAAAATCGTCGATCGAGTTCCTAGGTCACCGCATCTCAGCTACAGGTATTGAACCACTGTCTCAAAAGGTAACCGCCATCAAAGATTTCCCTGAACCTACATCGTTTAAACAGCTTAAACGTTTCCTTGGGATAGTTAACTACTATAGACGCTTTATTCCGTGTTGTGCTAGGATAATGCAGCCCTTGACTGACTTGCTTCGGGGCAATCAACGTTCGTTTGTTTTTACCAAGTCCGCGCGATTAGCCTTCTCAAACCTTAAAGACGCAATCGCTAATGCTGCTCTCTTAGCACATCCAGTACCATCTGCTCCAATTTCTCTCGTCACTGATGCCTCAGACGAGGCCGTTGGTGCTGTTCTTCAGCAGGCTGTCGACAATACATGGCAACCTTTGGGTTTCTTTTCGAAACGGTTGCAGCCAGCGGAGACACGTTACAGCACCTTCGGGAAAGAACTTCTGGCAGTTTACCTCGCCATCCGTCATTTTCGTCCTTTTCTAGAGGGCAGAAGCTTTACCGTCTTTACTGACCACAAACCTTTAGTTTACGCCCTCGACTCGTCATCCGACCGATACTCTCCGAGAGAGATACGCCACCTGGACTATGTCTCACAGTTTACGTCAGACATACGGCACGTCTCGGGTGTGCAGAACTCCGTCGCTGATGCTCTTTCTCGCGTCAGCTCCATCACGTCCGCTGAAGGTATCGATCTAACGGCAATGGCTGCTGCTCAACAGACCGACCCAGAGCTGGATCAGCTTCGTAATTCTAGCTCCTTGCGCATACGACCAGTTCCACTGCCTACTTCGGATGGAACCATACTTTGCGACGTTTCGCAAAATTCACCACGACCAGTGGTTCCCCAAGCTTTCCGACGCACTGTGTTTGACATTCTTCACAGTTTATCACATCCAGGCATTCGTGCCACAGTTAAGCTCGTCACACAACGCTTCGTGTGGCGCAACGTCAACCGGGACGTTAGACAGTGGGCTCGTACGTGCCTTAGTTGTCAACAGTCTAAGGTTCATCGACACACGAAAAGTCCGCTTGGTTCATTTCCACTTCCTGATGCCCGTTTTCACCATATTCATGTTGACCTTGTTGGGCCACTGCCCCCATCTAATGGATGCGCTTACTTGCTGACTTGTATAGACCGCTTTACAAGATGGCCTGATGCCATCCCAATGCCAGATTGCTCATCAGACACTGTCGCTCGCGCTTTTCTAGAGCGCTGGGTCTCACACTTTGGTTGTCCTGCCGTTGTGACAACTGATCGAGGTTCGCACTTCGCAGGCACATTTGCTCACCTTCTTCAGACCCTCGGCTGCCGTCACGTCCAAACGACTGCATTCCACCCTGCCGCCAACGGCATGGTTGAGCGTTTTCACCGCCAGCTGAAAGCTGCACTATGTGCACATGATAACGCAGACTGGTACGAAGCGCTTCCCACCGTTTTACTTGGCTTACGAAATACTGTCAAAACCGACATTAACGCTGCTCCGGCCGAACTCGTTTATGGCTGCACATTGCGTCTCCCTGGACAATTAGTCGCCCCAACCCCGGAGAGGGCATGGAACTACAAGAGCTACATAGCTCGTCTGACGCACCACATGCGTCAGCTGCATCCCGCGAGACCCAGGGAACAACGCACTCCAGTGCACGTTCCGAAAGACCTTTCTACATGTTCTCACGTATTCTTACGTGTCGACCAAGTGAGACAGCCTCTCTCCGCACCTTACACAGGTCCATACCGTGTTATTAAACGGTCTTCAAAAACTTTGGTGATTGACCGTGGGGGTAAAAGGGATACTGTCTCGATAGATCGCGTCAAGCCTGCGTTCATCGATGAACAACAGTTTGTTCCATCATCGACCTTAACGCAATCTACAGAGCCACCTGTAACGACGCCCAGCTTTTCAGCTCCACCACAATCCCAGTCACCAGATTCGCCTCAAACTAATACCAGTCACGGTAGAAGAGTTCGTAAACCTGTTCGTTTCTCCGATTTTGTCGAACTCATCCATACCTCATGAATCTTTTTCATTTTCTCTCGTTGTTTGTATTATGTTTTTCCGTTAGCAGAGTACATATCGGAATCTGTCCCCGAGTTTTTTCCCCCATCTATCAGGTAAAGTCATGAGGCTGGCACGTTTGGGTCCGTCCGTTCAATGGTTGGCTGTTTCTCAATTGTTTGGTCGTTTGGATGCTTTGGTCTACCCCCAACGCTTTGTCGTCTCGCCCGCCCACGTTGGCCTTTGGATCGTGGTCTGCTTGGCTCAATTTGGCTCGCCTTGATCGTTTGTCTGGCTCGCCTTCCTGGCTTTGGCTGCTCGTGTGCCTGGCTCGTTGTTTTTGGTCCCCCCACGGCTCGCCGGTACGAACAGGATTTCAGCTTCGTTGTGGCAGTGGATTGGAATGCGGTGGGGGAGTGACCTCTCCCAAGCGCACCGTCCTTCAGCAGCGGTGAAAGGTCCTACCGGCCCTTTTTCTGGATTATCCAGTTTGTTTGTAGTCCGGTGTGCCCGCTGAGACGGCCCACCGATGATGCATTCCAATCCACAAGAAGAATAAATAATCTAAATACTAACCTACTCCTATGGTTCTGCCTTCTTACATCTGCAAGCCAGCAACGATCGAAGTCCTCGTCCCTCGGCCTTCTAGGGGGAGGCCTGTGTAGTGACCATGACATTTTACTCCATCAAACATCACATTCAGACTTGTACACATTTTGTTTTACTTTGCACCCGCCTAAAGCCTATATATACTGGACTGCAATTTTGAACCAGGTCCGCCATCTTGCCCGCGCGTTGCCGGCTGTTGCGCTCCTACGTGGTGTTACTCATTGCTTCACCATTTTCTCCCATTGTCCTCAAGCTATATTCACATAGCTATTGTACTGTGCTGTTTTCTCAAGACAATCTTTATATCCCGCCGTCTTCTGTCTTACCGGGCTACGAATTTCTTGTGTAGCATTCGTCAAGGCGCTACAGAAGCGAGGCGAGAGCGTACACGTGAGCGCGGGAACTTACAAGGCAGTTGTGTGTGAAGCCAGTTGTAAGATTAAAACCCGGAGTAATGTACAATCGGTCAACAAGTAAATTGTACATGAAAGATAAAGAGTTATCTTTTTGGGCGCAACAAACGTACGGCTGCACTGCACACTATACCCTTCAGGGCAAGAGTGATGTCGCGCCGGCGCCATAAGTAACGATGGTAAGCAAAAGCGCCCCCAGCTTTTGCTATACGGTTCGTGATTTCAGCATCAATCCCACGGGCGCTGATACAACTTCTCAGATAGTTAAATTTTTGTACGACTTCTAGCTGATCCCCACCAACGGTCAGCGAAGGAGGCGGTCCAGACCCATCTTGGAGGAACGCTTTGCACTTCGAGGGTGCGAAGTAAAGCCCGAAGTGGCGGATAGCTAGCGCTTATCTGTCCAATGCCGCTTGGCACGTTTGTGAGCTGTCACGGAGTAGGGCAATATCATCAGCATACTCTAAGTCAAGAACTCGTTCTCCTGGGAGCAGATCCACACTTTCTAAGTCTTGTCCTGTGAACGCGATTTCCATGACTTCGTCAACAGCGAAGTTGAAGAGGAAAGGTGACAGCGGACATCCTTATCTCACATCGCTGGAGATATTACAGGGCGTCCTGCTTGCACAGGATGTCCTTCTTAGTCGTCACCGTCCTTCAAAAGTCCTTCAATACCATTCAGTAATTTATTGGTGGCAACTTGGTCTACGCTGTATTCCAACACCACCGCCAGTGGTGAAAACATCTGGCATAGGTGTCGAATCAAACGCACATGGGGTAAACACTCCCCGTCGTGCCGATTCTTTCACGGATAGCAGCGTTATATTCCGTAACGTTACTGAATCTGCGGCCGTTCTCCCAAGGGAACGCATCTTGGCTGACATCTCAAAGCTGTGCAGGTAACAATACAGCACTTCGTATGAGGGCGGTAAAGCTAGAACCTGTTCGCAAATAGAAATTTTAAAGCCTTTACAGCTACAAAGTTCTCGTGCTGTGTTGATTCAGTTGGCCGTACACTCATGTGAATATTGTAGATACCTACTGCTTATGTACTCGGCGCATTGTATACTGAAGTCAGGTTCGTTGGGTAGGTAAGAGTATCATTGGATCTGTAGCCATTGTTCCAACGAGGAGGGCTCCTAGTGTGGCGGTGACACGACAGTAGTGAGTGTTTGTCTCCACACCTGTGGGCCACTTCGGTAATCAGTTACCGCTTCAGGACCCATGGACCTGCCGTTATGTTAAGGTCGTAAGATGCATGTCAATCCTGCGTTTCAACATGATATTTATGCTTCACTTCCAAGTGATTGATAAGCTTGAAATATCAAGTGACCTTACGGCCCTGATATGAGCTGCCAACAAGCATTGCATACGCATTGTAAACATAGGGATTAGAGCAATTTTCCTCCTTCAACTATGCCTCCGGAATTACCTACTTTCCAATGACAAAATGTTTCCGAGTAGTTGCCAAGTCGATAACAATGTGCGTCACGGTGTGCACCCATGACTGCTCCTAAGACTAGCTGAAACAGTGGCCTATAGCAGGATTAGTGGGCGTGGTTGCCTTTGTAAATGATTGCAAACACATTGTAGGAGCGCCCGTGGGTGAGACAACAGTGTTTGTCTGTTCCAAGTACTCACCTGAATTACCAGAGTAAGATGTGTGCGTCTTCACCAATTATCGGCCTTTGCGTTTTTTCTAGCGCGACGATGTGGCATGTATAAATACGGTAGTCATGGTAGCCCCGTTATGTGCTTCTTTGTTGAGTAATGTCGATTTCATGAGGATAGCATTCCAGTCCATGGACGTAATAGGGAGATTCCATCTGCATTGACTGTGCTTCTAATGATGCCATTCGGCGAGCCACTTGTCAAAGCGTCTCAACACCGATGGGCGACCATATGGAAGTAAAGCCTAATTATCCTATGAATACATAGGTTCATTTGACTTTTAAATGACGCCATACATGGACACACTGAAGCGATAACTGGTTAACAAAGTCGCCCATGGGTGTGGAGACAAACGAACACTCACTAACGTCGTGTCAGCGCCACACTAGGAACCCTCTTAGTTTGTGTTTAGTCATCAACTCTGATAGAAGTAAGCACCCATCGAACTTTCGTTGTTCAGCTTCAGGTTGGTCTGCCAACTTCAATGGGAACAATGTCCCCCATGGTCGTCGCAATAACAATCGCACAAAATTGCCTAACCGCCTAGCAGCCACTGCTGATTCAGATTTTGGTGTGCAGTGTCCAAGCCACGGCGCATGCCTGACCAACCGCTCACTCGGTCAGACCTCAGGAACTGGGGAATACCAGTTAGAAGATTGCCTGTCTACGCCACCACAGTTAGGTTGCTGAATAAGCCACCACCAGGTAGTGGCTAGCGATCACTAAGTATAGACCGCTTCATGTGCTGGTTAGTATATCTGTCCGCACTGATTATGGCGTAAGCTTCGGATCATGTGGTAGCTAGGATCTCCTCCTTAGACAAGCATCATAATTTGCGCATTAGACGGTTTCAGTTTGAAGACCAATCATCGAGGTTTACTTCAGATGGGCATCAAGACGGAACAGAAGGTGGTGCTCGACCACTTCCATTGGACTGCCTGTCGCTTATGCTCGAGGCTTCCAACCGGTCTCCCATTGATTAACGTCCCATGACCAGTGAGAGTGTCATCGACGCCAAGACAGCGTTCTTAGCCTCGTTAACTTGAAGCACTGCATGTGATTTTGAAAATGTGTCACGCTAAAAGCTTGGTACAATGCGCTAACATGCCTGTAAAATGGTATAGACGTGTGAACTGGATAAACAGCAAGATCAAAGATATTTATTGAGAATGGAGTGCATGGAAGGTAGAAATTAGCATGACACATAAAACGTGTGTATTCGCCAGATGCTCGACAATCTTGAAATAGGCACCGCAAATTGATTGTTTCGGCAGGATGAATAATTCGAAGCAAAAGTGACAAATTACGGAGAATAAAACAAAAGTAAGACGCCTGAAATTGAACGGAAATAACGGCAGGACATACAGTCAAAAAGTTCCGGATGGGAAATAAAGCTGAAAGAGATGGTAGTTACTCCGAATTCATTCCACTTCCCGGAGAAATCCGAAGAGCCTTGTTAAAACGGACAGGAACTAACCGGAGGTAGCTAACAGAAAAGAAAAAAGGAACGAACGACTGCTCTTTTTCACACACAGTCCCCTCATACATTTTGTTTCAAAGGGTTGCGATTGAAAGCCAGGTGTCGAACAAAATCTGCATGCTATCATTCCATTAAACCGGGTTCCATCAATTGCCCCCATGTTTCCAGCAAACGGTATCCCACGTTCTTGGATGTGCAGCCAAGAAAACAGCAAAACGACCTATAGACAGGAAGCCCGCGCTTCTAGTTTTAACAGACAAGTGAACCTTTGTATGATGTGTCCAGAGTGAGATCGAGCCATCCTAGTTTGCACAGCGACAAGACAAACGTAACAGAAGGGACATGGCGTTTGACATCATTGATGCAAATCCAGTACCGCCAACACAGATCGATGATGCACCGCAAATAAGTACTATCGAACCGGGTGCTGTACAGTAAAAGTTTGAACGGTGGCCTTGTAGACCGTCGTTTAACAAAAAAGTGAGAGGTTGCGATAAACTACGAATGTTTCAAATTGGCAAACACCGGTGTGGTTTGGAAATAGGAAACGCGGTGCCTCCTTTTCCATAGCGCCATCAGTAGACAGTCTAAGAGTTGACAAAATGGACCGGTTTCGCAGGCTGCCCAGCTTCAAGCAAAGCGGATGATCATTGGCCTTAAGACATCTCACTGCACTTTGAGCAGGTGAAGAAAACATTCTTTCTATGATTAAATCGTCAAGTGATTCATAAATAATAATGTCACTAGCATAATCATTCGGTTACCTAGGAAACAGCCATGCGCCAGTGTTTGTGCCCCTCCAGGGTTCCCAATCGAACATCCTCTAAAGAAGATAGCAAAGAGGAAAGGGTTCGCTTGTAAACTATTACGGTGCTCATTATTGAGGCCTTGGAGTACCCGCCGTGTATCTGGATTGCGACACGCTGTCCCGATTGTGGCTACAGTTTGCGTTGAAGCACACCTACACTATTTCGTTTACTGGGACCGTATCCGAGGTGGAGCGTTTCGGAGTTGCTCTCTCCCAACACTGTACTCTACGACCGACTGGTTTCGTCCACATTTGGACTCGTCAGATAGAGATAGCTTGAGATGAGAGGGGAGCCCAACACAGTGGTTGAGGGCTCCACAACAGTGCTTAACAGAGCGGTTAGTTCACTGCTGAGTCTTGGAGTAAGCGCCGTGTCTGGATTGTGACATGCAATTTCCATTAAGGCTACAGTTTGCTACGCTGTTACCGTATGCCTGCAACATCTTGAAACGACTTCTAATTGGGAGTATCGATATTCCCAAGAATCAATGAGACATGGTGAAGATCCGTGGGACAGAAGTGGATGAGATTGGATGCAGCCGAACACAAGTAGAACGTATCCGTCGAAAGCTGGAGTACAGCACTTGTGCGTGAGACTAAGTGATACAGAAATCATTCACTCTCAACCACGTATGTACAGGGGATTGAACACTGAACAAATAACCGTCAGTTGCCCAATATTTAACATTTATTCACCTCGCACACGGCTCACGTGACTGAAATTCACTTCACATTGAGATGGTGTGTCGTAATCCATTGGGACAATGGGTTTTATAACAAAGCCCAAGCGGCTAGACAGATGAGTTCTAATGGCCTGTCGGTCATTTGATGGACCCAGATGCGTGGCAAACGATACGGTCCCTAAAATCGAGTTTTTGGCGAAGATAGGCTCTTAATCAACACAGAGGACCCCAGCCCACGACTTCTCTTATCGCAGCCAAAAACGACTAAAAAAGTAT